TACCCCTACCCAGGTGCAGGACCTTGCACTTGGCCTTGTTGAACCTCATGAGGTTCACACAGGCCCACCTCTCTAGCCTGTCCAGGTCTCTCTGGATGACATCCCGTCCTTAAAGCTAAAGTACCTGAAAGCTATCTTGGGTTGTTTATACAGATTTTACATTTATCATTCTCCTTGGCCCTCAGTTATTCTAGAGCTTTTTCTTTTTTCCCCCTGAGCTAAATAAACATCTTTTTAGGCTGAATTTTGGTAGCAGAAGTATCTTTTTCTGAAGGTTGCAGGAGGCATACTTGCTTCCCATTCGCTACCATCATTTGTTCTGGAGCCAACAAAATGTGTATGCCTTCACCCCACACTGAGAATCTAATTACTTTAATTGGTTTGAAATCTTTAATCTTTTAAGTTAACAAAAATCTATGCTAATAACCAGCTCTGCATGCATGATTTGCCATGTTTAATGCCCCAACTGATGTCAAGCAAACAAATGGTGAACACTGCATGTTCCTATGTGGCAGACATTTTGATTTTGACCGTGTAGTTAATGCTAGATTGCACTGCCTCTCCCATTTTTGTGGTTATCGTGTCTTCTGACTAGAAAAAAATGTTAAAAGGATAAATCAATAGACAACAATTTCACAGATAAGGAGTCCATAACCTAAAATCTCTTTTAAAGCAGAGGTGTCCAGAGGTGCAGCTAAAACTTAAATGTGAGCTGTGAGGCTTAAATGTAGCTACAAAAAGCAAACCAGGCCATTACTATCCACCTGTCATAATTTTGTGTTAACCACAGCTTTACATTGCTGAGGCTGAACCTAAATAAAAAATTAAATGGCTTTACCATGTGCTTGAGGATGTAAAAATCGCCTTGGCTATCAGGGCTTGCACTGTGCAGAACGGCTACGCTGCCACAACCTTCTGATGTTCCAGCTAATGGTGTTGTACAACAGACCTGCTCCCTAATTCTTCCTGTTTATCAAGGCGGTATTTATAAAATTAATGCCTTATGTAATCCTCAGTAGCACTCAAAGCTTGCTGATGTTGGACTGGGCTGACAAATGTGGCTGGGTGCCCCTATCTTACCTGAAAGGCTCACAAACTATCTGTTGGTTCTACCTCCTCTTCCAGAAAAACAGCTTTGAACTGCCTTGTTGAACAAAGGAAGCGAAATGCATCCTTTCAGTAGGACCTAAGGGCTGAGATTCTAAACGTTGTCATTAGGGCTTTCACAGCAACGTGATTTGTACATAGCTGCTGGCTGATAAGAGAATTTTGGAAGAATGTTGCTAAGTACGTTTGTACTTACAAACTTTTCATCTTGAGAAATGTTGTTCTAAATGGAACAATCATCAGCTGTAAGAAAAAACTACCAAGTAAACTGGGGGTTAGAGAAATATCTGTAATGTATATGCTGAAGCACACCAGTTCACCTTGGTCCATGCTCTAGTGCCCTTGTGACAAAGTAAAAGGCAACCTAAGAGGACCTTCTCTGGCTACATCTAATATGCTGTTCTCCATACAAGCCAGTGTCAAAACCGAACGATCCCTTGTCTATGAGGCTGGATGGGATCCATCCAGGAGTACTGAGGGAGCTGGTGGAGGAGCTTGCCAATCCACTCTCCATCATTTATCAGCAGTCCTGGTTAACAGGAGATCCCAGATGACTGGAGACTTGCCAATGCGATGCCCGTCTACAAGAAGGGCCAGAAGGAGGATCTGGGGGACTACAGGCCTGTCAGCCTGACCTCGGTACCAGGGAAAGTTATGGAGCAGTTCAAACTGAGTGCGCTTACCAGGCACATGGAGGACAATCAGGGGATCAGGGCCAGCCAGCTTGGGTTCATGAAAGGCAGGTCCTGCCTGATGAACCTGATCTCCTTCTATGACCAGGTGACACACCTGGTGAATGAGGGAAAGGCTGTGGATGTTCTCTACCTGGACTTCAGCAAAGCCTTTGACACTGTCTCCCACAGCATTCTCCTAGAGAAGCTGGTGGCTCATGGCTTAGACAGGTGTACTCTGCTGGGTAAAAAACTGGCTGGATGGCTGAGCCCAGAGAGTTGTGGTCAAGGGAGTTAAATCCAGTTGGCGGCTGGTCACAAGCGGTGTTCCCCATGGCTCAGTTTTGGGGCCAGTTCCATTTAATATCTTTATCTGCAGTCTGCATAAGAGCATTGAGTGCACTCTCAGTAAGTTTGCAGATGACACCAAGTTGGGCAGGAGTGTCTATCT